CTCCACACCACCATAGTATGACAAGTCTGAAGCCCCTTATTTCACAGTAGCTAAGAAAGCGGATGATATTACCAACAAGAGAAAGTCAAGTCTCCTGTTTTCAATCTAGGTCAAGTTATCCTCATTCCAACAGGAAACACTACCCTAGGTCAATTAAATTACTTTCTGAATTAGCAGTAGTAACATGATGACACCAAGCCATTGGTAACAAATGAGCTGTTTCCTCACCTAAAAAAAAAATTCCAATGATGTTCACTTTAAAAAAAAATTTGAATTAATAAAAGGATTTTGCTCCATTGCAAATTATAACCATATGGATTTGCATAATCATATGCAAATTAATCCAAATAAGTTTCAGATAAGAAATATAAAACTAAGTTGAATAATTAGAGAAGACAAAGTAAGTTTTTTTGGAGGGAGCCAAAAACTGATTTAAGGATTATAAGAATTGACCTTTAAAGAAGTATACCCATACACGCTATATGTGGCTAGCATAGAGACTGGAGCTATGATTTCACTGATACATTGAACTCCTCATAGAAGGACTCTACTACTTCAGGGTGGCACCTTCTCTGCAACTTGGAGTCTCAGAAAATTGTCTGAGAAGTTCAGTGACTTCGGTCACAGGGCCAGAGTGGGTCAGAGGCACAACTTCAACAGAGGACTCCATGGCTCTGAAGCAAGCTCTTTATCCACTCCAATATGCTGGTGCTTACGTGAATAACCAATGCCATATACAGTATAGGATCAAGCAACTAAAATTCTTAAGGCAGGCAAAGGAAGTGCTAACATTTATTTTATATGTATTTATATGTGTCTTCTGTTTCCATAAGGTGTCCAAGAACCAAGAGCAAATGTTATTTGGAAATTCCTTTGAATACACTTGGGGCAGTACAATTTACAATTTGGAACCCAATTGGCTTATTAACCTGAATATATGACTCAGTTAACCTGTACTTAGAATTCAAATAAGAAGTCTCAAAAAAAATTAAATTCAATCAAAACATGTTAAGACCTTATTACTATGGTGACAGCACAATTAGTTAAGACAGAGTCCTGCCCACTTGGAGCTTCCAATCTATTAATAAGATATATCATAAACATTGATAACATTGATTTATCACACTACATGATTAGTACATTAGAGGTTAGCACAACAAGACACTGTGTTGAAAAAGGAATAGTTGTTACCGACTGGAGTATGAGAAATCAAGAAAGACTTCATGGAGTAGTGGATATCTGATTTAGGTTTTAAAGGATGAAAGCCTTCACCAGATATAGAAATGGGAGGGGGATATTCCAGGTTTAGCAAACAGCATGAGTAAAAGTATGGAGGCAAGAAAATGGCATATTGAGAGCTGGTTCTCTTTTAAGAGAAAAACAAGTCTTGCAGAGAGGGGAGAGATGTAAGGAGAAAAAAATTTGGAACTCAAAATCTTATAAAAGTGAATGTTGAAAATTATCTTTATATGTAATAGGAAAAAATAAAATACTATTAGGTGGGGGGTGGGGAGGGGGAATAGAAAAACAAGCAAGTCAATGAGGCAACTTTTAGGAGAGATCAGCCTCCTACAGTCCTTTTCTCTGATATTTAATATTCTTAACAGTTACCCTTAGACAATGAAAAATTCTAAAGCGCCTTCCAAGAAAGATTAGATTATGCTAAACAAAGGGTTGGTGTTAGTTAACTCTTATAACTAGCAACCTATGTTGGGAGTCTACAGCAATTATCAAATAACCAAAACATTCAGCCAACCAGAACACCCTATTCCCCCAGCATTACAAATAAACAAGGTGTTACTGTGTATACAATGACATTTTCCCTTTATTCACAGAATTTCATTGATTGGTCTAATTTGTATTTAGTCCACTCATTTTACTCATGTACCAGTCATCATTATGCCCTTGACTGCTGGAGGGTGTGAAACCTAATACAGAATTATGAAGAAGTATTTAAACATTGCTGTAATTATGTGCCTTGGGAGGGATCCAAGGTTGGCCAGCAATAATAATACAGTATGATTCCAGTGTATATGTTAGTTTTTAAAAAATGGGAAAAAAATTCTTCAAATCACTGACAAAAGAAGTTTTTTTTTTAAATCACATCATCAGATATTGTGACCTTCACAAGTCATTCAACCTTTCGGAGCCTCATTTTCTTAATCTGTAAAAATGCTCTTCTTCATATTATAGTTTAAATAGTTGACGCCTACAGTATTTCCAAGCTTAAAGATCTATGAAATAATACTGATTTTCTTTGATATCATTGAGATTTAATAGAAAAGTATTAATAATCTATATTTTCTAGTAATAAAAAGCCACCATTGGAACCACTTAAACTACTTTTCACTTTGTTTTAAAAAATTAAATACTTCATGTAATTCAACCAATTAAATGAAAACATGCACATTTGATGATGTTAATACTTTTTAAAGTTTCACCTTTCCTTTTTTTTTAAACTAGGCTGCAAACAAATTGATGATTCTGGTTAACTTATATCAAGCCAAAAGAAAGTCAGTTAATAATCCCTCTATCTCATACAACCCAAAAAATATTCCTAACACAATTGTGTATTTTAAGCAGGAAGGAGGTAACATGATCTTAACAAAGCTTTTCACAAGACCAAAAAAAGTACTATTTAACTCATTCTCTCTCTTCTCTCTCTCTCTCTCTCTCTCCTCTCTCTCTCTCTCTCTCTCTCTCTCTCTCTCTCTCTCTCACACACACACACACACACACACACACACACACACACACACACACACACTCTTCTCCCCTTTTAGTCATTCTACTACTCAAGAACAATAAATGGACAAGAGAAGAAAATCAGTCCATTTTGCCACTTATTAGGAGCTCTGAGAAATTGTTTGCTGAGATGCAGATGGCAACCCCAACAGTACTGGCTAAAATTAGGTTTCGGCATTTGCAGAGGTGGGGGTGGGGTAGATTTCCTTGATTGAGCTATTCCTGTTTTCCCAGGCAAGGACAAATTATCAGGGATTAGCTATATTCACATTCAAGTATTCCTAAAAGATACCTAAATATTGCCAACTTCACCCCTATCCCCGATTTTAAAAAGGTAATGGGGTGAGAGGAGGATCAAAACTAAGGTGAATTTAAATGCATATTCAGGATGCTTTACTTTAGAAAAAACATGAACAAATCATGGATTTTAATTTTGGGACTACATATTCAGACATAGTAAACAAAGGCATACAGTAATGTATAGTATAGTTTTCATTATACATGTCAATGAAAAGTGGAAATCCACCATAATTGCCAAGTGCATGAGCTCCAAACACAACTGAAGGAGGGGGGAGTAGAGAGGGGAAAAAAAGAAGAGAAGGTCCTGATAAAAATATAGAGAAGTTTTCTTCCTGCACAGTGGGCCCTAGAACCTCATTTAAAAAAAAGATTTCAGAAAATATCTATCCCTTCCCTTCTTTCAGTGTTTGCCAGGCTGACATCTGGCTTGCAATTTCCATGAGCCTCAAAAGAAAAAGATTCATACCTTAAAATTATTATCTCCCTTCTTGTCATCCCAATCCATGAATACATCAACAACCTGAAGCTCAATAATCTCAGGTTCTCCTACATGGAGACCATTCAAAAACAAATAAGTCAAGCACGCTTTCAATATAATAAAGCAGTAATGTAGAAATTAGGTGTACCAAGCGCTTTAAACACCCCTTATTAGCTGGTTGGTTCAGCCATCTTCCAGCACTGCTCAGAGGAGTTTCTGTTTCATCTACCTGAACATCCAATTTGAACCCTTTCCAAAGACAATCCCTTATTTCCATCCTCATCTCTTCTCTTTGTAATTCAGTTTAGAAGCTTACATCCATGTCCATTTAAGAGTACAGGGCAAGTGTTTGCCTGAAAACCAAAAAAAATCAGTAAATATTGACCTTTACGGATCAACTGTACTCTACACCACTCCTGTGGCCCTGAAAATTATTAAAAGGCAAACTAAAAATACCAATAGTATCATTCAACCTTTCCGTCCAGGCAGTTCCCTGGTTTCTTCATTGGTATTTAACACCAAAGCATGAGACTCATTTTTCATTAAAGTTGCAGAGCTTTTATTTTCCTCAGTTTCAAATGTTGTAATTGATCTGCATTGTCTTCTTAAATAACAAAACTGGTGAAGGACACTGCAGCTTTAAATATTTCAGTGCTAACTAAGAAATAGACTCCATTGCAATATGGCTCTGAAGGTCGTGTCCTATTGTCTTTTTTCTCTACAAATATACTAAATGACATCTAAGTCATTCCTTTATATAATAGAGGGTGGTTGCCTCCCTAGAATTTCCACTTCATCTCCTCCGTACTGCTCCGGTGTTTATTTAGAATCTTACACTCCCAATTTTCTCCACAGGAGAGATAAGCTGATTGCTATTAATGATTCCAGTATCATACCTAGACACAAACACATGTGTTCACGTTAGTTTAATTGAGCATATGCAACTATCTTAAAAGGACATCTCCCAATGGTTGGGAGCCTCTTCAATAGTGAAGGCAGTAAGGACTGGGAATGGACAGCTTTGAGCCTGCACTGGCATCCCTGATTGAAGAACTGAAATGTGTCCCTAGTTAAAATGACAGGAATTCCACGCCGCTTAACCTCGGGATAGTCTAGCAATCTTGTGATTCACTTTTTCAGAAAGCTTGACTTCCCTCAAAGACATAACATCCAAATCCACAACGAACAAGAGCTTAAGAGGGAGAGGGTAGTAGCGTAGGAGAATCACACTCGAGTGTCCTCGCACAGAGATGTACGATAGGTTTATGTAATTCCTTAAACTACCGGAATGGTTTTCACATGAGGACAAGACAATGTAAACGAGGGCCACGGGCAAGGAAAGGGGACCATGACATGTAGCAGGTTACGTGGGACAGGGATGCAGAACACAAAGCCCAGCAAGGAAGCAACAGCACTCGAGAAATGGGGAGGGGGAGAGAAGGGGGAAGGTGTGCGCAGGTGTATTTGGAGTTATTACCTGAAATGGCAACAGATTGTTACCATTATCGGTCCGAAAAGCGTTATCCTCCATCCAGGATTTGGAGGTGAGAGGAGCCGCCCGGGGGAACTTCGGAGGCGCAATCACATTGCTGGAGAAGGGTTTTTTGAGCGGGGAGATGGGATTAAGCGGAGATGGCACGCCGACCCCGACTCCGACCCCTACGCCAACAGCCCGGCGAGGGTCCCTGCCGGCTTGCAGCCCGCCCCAGGGATTGGAAGGGGTGCTCCAGGCGGCGTTCTGGTGATTGTTCCAGCTGGAGGAGGATGAGGAGGCCGAGGCAGAGGACGGCTTGCTGGTCATGATGGGCTGATGGCTGTACGCCGCGGCGTTTCTTTGGGTGTAGGTCGCCTGGTTGGGGCTCACCGGCGACCTGCGCTGCTGCTGCTGCTGCGCCTGCTGCGCCTGCTGCGGCTGTGCGGGCGGCGGCGGCTGGGGCTGGGGCGGCGGGGGCTGCGGCTGCTGTTGCGGCGGCGGCGGCGGCTGCGGGGCAGGCGGTGGAGGCGGCGGCGGCGGCTGCTGCTGTTGGTGGTGCTGAGCCTGCGCTAGGCCGATCTGCGGGGAGAAGGTGCCTCCGAAGACCGGGTTGACGTGGTGAGGGAAATTCTGAAAAAGCATGGTCCCATTGACGGGGGTGATCCCTTGGAAAAAACTGTCCTCCACGGCGTTCGTGGTGCCCGTCGACCAGGTGCTCCCGAAGGAAGGGGACAAGGACGTGCCCGGCGCCGCGGCAGGCTCCTGCTGCGGGGGCTGGTGGAAACTCAAGCCGGGCAGGAGCGGAGATTCCATCTGCATCTTCTCCTTGCTGTTGGGGGCCGTCGAAGAAGTCGCCGCCGCTGCTGTTGGATTGAGACTCGTCACTGGGCTGCTGTCCTCCGGCTTGGGGGTCTCTGAGGAGAGGGGCGTGGAAGAGGCTTCCGCTGCGTTTGACTCCTGCTGCTGCTGCTGCTGCTGCTGCTGTTGCTGCTGCTGCTGCTGCTGCTGCCGCTGCTGAGTCTGGGTTTTGCTTTTGTCCATCAGTAAATCATCCTGCATGGTTTGCGCAGCTGAAACGGGAAAAAAGAGAGGCGTGTTATTATTAAAGGGATCATCAATGCCACTCGCAGAAGCGGTGGGGTATTTCACTTGCGAAAATCCAGTGCCACTGCCACTAGCCAATTGCAATGCAAATCCGTAATCTCCCATTTAGAAGCCCCAGTCTGGCAAGGCGGGGGGTCACGCTAGAGCTCTAAAAATATGGTTTTAGCAGCTTCACCCTTTCTGGTGTCTTGTCTCCTTTCAGTGTTAGTGAGAGATGTGCTTATAGGACAGAGATATACAGCAATTTCGCCACGTCTCTTTTCCCTTCACCGGAACTCAGTGCGCTCACCCTGCAATGAGAAACTGATTCTTGTTCCTGTTTTTTCCAAGCACCACCCTCCCCCAGTTATTTGCATACGTCAATAAATACTGCTGCGTCCTTCAGCAAGGTTAAAAAGACACCAGTCACTACACTCCTTCCCCCCCCCTTCCCCTGCTTGAGCACTTTAAAGGAACAGGAGTCTCATCCTTGATTAGTAAACTACCTTCTTGCTTTTGTAATTGTTTCATTTAACTGCAAAGAACCACGAGGGGGAAAAAAATCTTTGCATTTGGTGAAAGAAGCCTCAGCTGCACAATCATTCTCTGGTCTTCAGTACTGCAGCCTACTCCATTTTGTTAGGGACCTTAAAAGCAGTCATTTTTAAGGGGGGGTGGGATGACTAACATTAGCTAATATGCAATTTGTTTGTCCTTCATTACTCTGAGGAATATATACATATATATGTATATATGTGTGTATATATATATATATATATTACACATACATATATTCCTGTTAATTTTGTCAATACTGTTAATTACAACCCAAGACATTCTTTTTAATGAGTTATTTCAGTTTTCAGTGTCTATCTTTGAAGCTCTTTGCAGAGCAGAACAATGGTTCCAGTCGGATTTGAGGTCAAAAATTAGAGTAAGGCTGTGAGATCAGTGGACTCAATTTTAATTCCTTTGAGATTTAGCCAGACAATCAGGGCAAGTTTTGAGTCCTTAAACTGGCACTATCAAATGCAGAATAAATTATCATACAACTGGTATTTACAATGGAAAGACTGGGATGCTAGTAGTCCCAACGATAATTCAACAACAACAACAAAAAAGAATTAAAAATAGAAATGCACAAAGTCCTTTATGCCTGTACATCGTGATGATACTACTTTTGCCAAAAGAGCTTCCCTTTGTCCCATATGGATATTGTGGTATTTTCCATTTCACACAAAAGAAATACATTATTTATTTACCTTTAAAATATTTCTTGAATGCTTAAGGATAAAAAATGCCATCACTCTAAACATGTGGATTTCAGATACACTACCCCCCAGCTTCTGTGTCAACCGGTATTGTTAATATAGATAGTCTAAGTATTTTTAAATGTATGCCTGTGAATTTTACATTATGCCAAGATCCTATCAAATATTTGGGGAATTTGCAAGTGTATAAGGCCAAACACATAACTATTTAGATGATGATTCAGTATAATTAGAACAAGGTTATTGACATATTTAATATAGCTATTTTAATTATTTTATTCCATCCACCTCACAGCACTATATACTTTTGGGCTGCTATTGTTATACTTCTGCCAGTGATGGTAGAAGCAGCTTTCTCAGAACCAAGGTATTTACATATACTAAATATTTGACTTGGGACAACATCATGGTTTAACAGGAGAAATAGGATGAAAAACTGAGAAACTATTACCTTAATTGTAAACAGATGAGATAGAAAGGTTAAAAGAGATGCACTATTCTATTTTTAAGAATATCCTTTAAATGACTTAATCTAGGGTTCTTTTTCTAGGTGAGTTTCATACACACAAAATGTGGAGGGAAAAACTTGACACCCCCCGTCTTTTGTTGCCCATTCTTCCCCCACACCTCATTTGACAGATTTGCCTCTATTATCAATTAAACACACAAATAATCGCATTTTCTTCCATCTTGGCCTAAAAACAATCATTTTAAGTATGATAAAATGGGAAAGTTTCTAAGAAAGAACACAAAAGATTTAGATGTGTACATCACTGCTGCTGCCCAAGAGATGGTCATGGAAAAAGACCTTTACACACTTTTTTGGGTAATGCTGCAGTAAACCTGAAGACTCAAGAATCTGAGTAGCTTCCAGGGAGCTAGAATTTTTATTATGATAACCACATTATCATGGATGATACTGTGGATTCATTCCATTGTATTTTTAATATCATTTTGCTTCTTGTCCTCCTTAAATGTCCATTGTGTGTTCTATTTTTTAACAGTGAATTTAAATAAAATATTCTAAGGGGAAGAGGGACTGTATCATACTCCACCCAAAGCAAAAAACAAACAACCTAAAAATCAATTGTTATTGATGATCAGGAGAAGGTGGAGTGCCAGCATTACGTATTTCTTTTCTCACTATTGCTTAAAGGTATACATTTCACTGTTAGCGTAAATTCAGCACTATTGTCAAGGTCAAGACATGCCTTTACTAAAAATTACCTGTCAGGACAAGAGGCTGACACTGAATTAAGATAGCATTTACAATACTATTACCCGATGTCTCTCAGTTACCGTTAGTGCGAGTATTTGGGGGCTTATTTTTACAGCGAAGTCCTGGAGATATCTTACACCATCCCCCACCACCCTAACAACACTGTCTGTTTTTGCATGCAGTAAACGACAGGCTCAATCCCCGAATTCTCATTTAGCAGTTACCTTTGAGTGTCCAGCTTTTAGGGATCGATAAAAATTAAAGTGTACAGTATTTATTTTCCTTCTTTCGGGTTGATTATCTGACTGCTCCGGCAAAAGCACTTTGACAACTGGAAGACTAGAGGGCATGCGCACCCGAGGAACTGTGGGGACTGGAGTCTCTGGCCAGCGCCTTGCCGGCCCCGCACGTTGGCAAGAAAGGAGGAGAGTTCACCAAGCCAGAGTCATAACGTTCAAGAAGAAAACAGTTGTACCCTGATTGCGTTAACAGGCAGCCTAAATCATTAGCTGTGGAAATGAATTGGGGATAGAGGGAAGGAAGAGAACTGATTTGTTAGGTTAATTTAGGAAGGAAAGCTAAAAGGATCTCTGACAGTCGCACCTAGAATTAAAAAAAACAAAAACAAAAACAAACCCAGGAGAGCCACCTTAAATGGAATCGAAACGATAATGACTGAACAGACATGGGTACATTGCTATGACAAGATTATATAAAGAACTCTGGATAAAAAATAAAATAAAATAAAGTGATAGTAAGTATGGCTTCACTTCTCAAAGAAACCCTATCTTTAAATGAATTGAGTATAATTGTAGAAATCATGGTAAATACTGTCACACATTTTTCAGTTAAATCTGTGTCCACAAAAAATTCTCAGGCATATATTTACCATGATTTCTTTAAACCTATAATGGAAATCAAGCCAAAATTGTTACTTTACAAAATTGTACTGCCTGACCCATACTAGGTACTTAATAAATGCTTATTAAGTGAATCGACTTGATATCTCAATTCACAGTTGAAAAAACCGAAAGCTTCTCTTACCTTAATACAGTAATAATCCAAATCAAATTCAGAATATCAGTGTTTAACAAGATCCCAGGATATCAGATGAAATGTAAAATAACAAGTTAGTTTATTTAGTGTTTTACTAAATATCACTCAAAAGATCAAAGAATCCAATTAGAGTTCAAAAAACCCTCAGAAGCCATCTAGTCCAACCTTCTTATTTTACAAATGAGGAAACTGAGGCCCAGAAAGTTTAATCTAGCAACTTGCCCAAGGTGACACAGGTCTATAGTGTCATATTTATTCCAAATTTTGTTAGAGGTTTGCCAAGTGCTTTATATGCAGATTATTTTATGCTCTTATCAGTTCTGTTAGGTTAGTTTATTACCTCCATTTTACAGATGAGGAAACTGAGGCTGAGAGATTGGATAACTTGCCCAGAGTCACAGAGCTAGTAAGTATCTGAGGCAAGATTCAGACCACAAATCTCCATGATTCTAGGACCAGTCCCTTCATCCACCATGTCAGGCTGTCAAATGCACCCCCATAGCTTAGCTTTCTGGTTTAGCAAGCAAAATTGTAGAGCCTTAAAATATTGCATTCATGCACTATGGCATACTATTGTCCATTGGGGTTCTAAGAACAATGGTTAAAACCACAGCTTACAAAAGCAGCAGCAGGATATTTATTATTTCCTGTGGGTTTTGGTACAATGCCAGTTGGGGGAGGGGGATCGGTATATAACAGTTGATGACAACACTGACAAAATTTGGAGTTTAAAATCGTGTGTCAGCTTTAATTACCATAACTTTATATTTTCCTTTCTTTCCCAATTCCTACTGTAGCATTTCCATAAACCACCAACTTAAAACATTCCTAGTAGTTTTTGTCGTATTCACCGAAGAAACAAAACTGGAAGGTTTTTTTTTTTAATGGCCATTTTGAACAAACATTGTGCAGGAGGGCTCAAAAGCTTCTACAAAAGAACCAGTGAGCTTCTGGGCATCTCGTCCCACTAATGTTTGCTGTTCTTGTCCTTGGTCCTACTAATCTGACCCCAACCTCCCTTTCCAGTCTTATCTCCTACCATGCCTATCAATGTCCTCTTTTCCAGCCAAACTGGTCTATTAAATATTCTGATCTCAGTATATTTACCAAAGTCCTATTTGTCCTTCCAGGTTTCTAGGTCAAATCTCTATTCCTTCATAAAATCTCTCAAAACTGCTCTGGCATTTGGTGGTCCCTTACGTCTTTGAACTCTTGCATCTACTGACTGTGCCACTCCTTTGACATTCTTCCGATGCTATCTTGTGTTATGTGTGTCTAAAGGTAAATGTGTATATTGTGTCTCCTTGATGGTAAGGTCCATGAGATCAGGGTTGATGTCTTCCTCTTTGTACCCCCACTGCTCAGCATAGTGCCTCCTACATATCAGGTCTCAATAAATGTTTGCTAATTTATAATGAAGGAGGCAGTTAGATGGCTCAGT